TATCAGACATAAAAACTACAAACTCTGCTAGCCGAAGGAGCTAACAGCGCTAATGCTAGCTGCTAGCTTATTCTTCAGTAACAAAACACATCTAAAAGTGGTCAGTAACATTATACACCTTTTCTTTTCAACTCTTTAAAAACAAATACGTATTTAATGGTATTGGTGACGGATTCAAATATGAATATCTCATAAATAATTTACCTTGAATTCACTGTGCAGGTGAAAAAAACAGTAAAATTAATAACATTTTACAAATAATTATGAGTTTTTCGTATGAAACAACTTTTAAACAGATTGTTGTTGAAAATGAGAATCAATTCTCAATCTAACCTAATTAAATAAATGTTAAATAAAGAAATTAATATAAACTTTTAGTTAATAGAATAACAACATATTTAGTCTCTTTAAAAATGTAATTTATTTTTGAATTTTCATCCCACTTTAATGTTTTAGATACATTTTATTAATTTTGTTAATCTAAGAGTTTTTAAATGTTTTTTTAGAATGTATGAGCAGTAAAAAGTTTTGACCCTCTGAACTCAGTAACTGGTTCATCTGGAGCCGCTTTGCTCCTTGAATGGTTTAAATTTAGTCACAATGGACGGATTATCAGCATAAACAACCTATTTAAAGTCTTTCCACGGCATCTCAGTTGGAGTTAAGTTCAGACTTTGACTAAGCCACTCCAGAACTTTCATTTATTTATTAGTTTCGACCCTTAGAGGAGCTGCAGGTGTGATTTGGATCTTTGTTTTTCTGTGAAAATGAGTTTAAACTAAACTGGTTGCATTTTCTCCTTCAGGATTCTGTGATTCAGGTTCTGATTCTGCTTTAATGTGATCAAAATAATTTAACTAAAGAAGAAGAAATCAAAAATAAATTACATTTCTTAAGGTGAACATATTGTCTCTACATGCTCAGACTGCCCTCTCACCTTTGACCTCTGAGTAAGAGACATTAAATAGTTCTTAGATGTTTTATTTATTTTTGTTTCACAAACGTTGGTGTAATTGTGAAGCTCTTTGATCTTTTAAATGTATCAATAAACATTTTATTTGTGATGTTATTTTGCACAGTAATACCATCACTGATAAAACAAACATGGAATAGATTACAAAAAATAAAACTGAATAAAATAAAAATAAAATAAATAAATAAACTAAATGACCCAAAGAAAACAATATTTGCCATAAAAAAAGTAAAAAAATGCTTGATTTAAGTGGTCAAAGGTTAGAGGTTACATAAAATAAGATCAAGGGTGTTCAAAGTGGGGTACGGGGGCCATTTGTGGTCCGTGGGCTGATCTTATACGGTCCACTGACCACAGAGCAAAACTACAACTTTTAGATCAAAATCTACTCACAAAAATTTATATGCAATAAAAAGTGATAGTTCCAGTTAATTAAAGTTTTTTCCACCATTAATTACCAGTTAAGAAAAAAGTTTTCTCAATTTCAGTTTTTTATTTTGTTAGTTTTATTCAACTATAGTAATCCTGTGTTGTAGCACTGATTCATCTCACATTTCTCTTGGAAGAAGAAGCACAGATTCCCAAATTAATTATTATAGTGAATGAAAATGACATATTTTAGCTGCTTAGAGGCTAATCCAGCCCAGAGCTCCAAACTATCCCCCTGCAGGCCTTTAGAGAATCGAGTCCAACAAGTTTGAATGAGGATTAACCGCCTTAATATCTCACAACATTTCAGAAAAGATGTTTATAAATGATCTGAAATCTGTGGTTTGATAGTTAAAGTCAGACAGAAACCCAGAGAAAATCAGACTTACGGCTCTGACAGGAAGCTCCCGGCGCAGCTTTCTGTGTTTGGATGTCAGAGTCTCTGCTGCGTTTTGTTCCAATTAGGAAACGCACCAATCAGGAAATGCACCAATCAGAGCGGCGGGATGGACGGCAAACAGGTGAGGCAGCATCTGCAAGGTGTGTTTGGAGACGACGTCACCACACACACCTTTTGTTTCTCTGACAGCGAGGATGGAGGAGATGACTGAACGTGCAAAGCTAACAATAAAAGCAGCTAACACCTGGTGAACTCACACACACACCTTTATGATGGCGGCGGATAAACACACACACACACACGCACACGCACACACACGCACACGCACACACACATCTTTATGACCCCTGAAGGAGGAAAGTTTACAGATAATCCTGATTCTCTGTTTGTCTAACAATAATTTCATGAGCATTAGCATTAGACATGCTAATGATAATGCTAACGCTAACAGATTTTGGGGTGAATCTGCCTCCAATCCTGGATGAACTTTAAATGACCTCAGGTCTTCACAGGTTGATCAATAGTTGCTTTGCAAAGATTTTTGCTGACGTCATTTTGCCGTGACGTTTTGCTAACTCATACCTCCGACGTCCAGATTAGCAAACTGCTAAGACAGTTTGAAGTGTCTATGCTGATGATAATCAGTTAATTATGTTAGTTGGATCAGCACCACCAAACTACCACATTCCCTCATGAATCCTGTTGAAGCAACAACATTGAATCTAAGTTTTCCGTTTTCCTGTGACTGTTAGCATAGCTAGCAAAAGTGGTTTAGCAAACCAAGATGCTTCTCTGAACACAGTTTGGTTCTTCAGAAGAAACTATGTAAAAAGCAGCAAAAATACGAAAATAAAACCTTTAAAGATTTCAGAAAGATGATCTTTTTTGCTGAAATTTGAATTTCTTTCTGCGTGGTTGTTCATATTTATGTATAAATGATTTCTGTGTGAACGTTTTATGACCCCAAGGCGATCCGCATGCACAGAGGGAAAATGTAAACGTCAGACAGCAGCATAATAAGTAATGATGGATTAAAAATCAAAGTTTTTGACCAACAGTTTTTATACGACACTTTATGCTGCAGAGCCTCAAACACCAAAACATCCGTTACTCACTGCTCTAAAACTAGCCAATATCAACCAATTTGTCCTAAATTAAGTCCTATAGCACAAATATTCTTTATACTTTATCAATTAGAACCAAGGAAGAAATAAATAAACAAATATTTCTATGACAAACAGCAGAAACTGGAGAGAAAATCAACAGCAAACGTCCAAAGAAAAACCATCAGAGAAAAAGAGCCGATCAAAAGCAACAGATTAGAAAACAGCTCGATGTGGAACCAGGAAGAAATGAGAACAATATGAGATGCAGCCGCCTCCAGCAGAACCAATGAAATATTAAACAGCCCCGTTAGTTTGGGTCTGAATATGCACGGTGAGTTTAGAATCACATCAGAATGGAGCCTTTAATCCTCAGAGTAAATATCTAAAAATGTTCTGTAGAAACCGTCAGAGCGGAAACAAACAAACCGGTTCAAAGGTTAGCGTGGTTAGCGCGCCGCTGCAGCCTGCAGTGCAGCAATCAGACAAAATGCAGCACAAACCTGCGACCAGCAGACATTTCTCTGTTCCCCATCGGATCCCAGCAGGACGCGATCAGAACGCCGCCGCGCCGCAGGAAGGTTTCACCACCGCCACGCCCTCCACAGCTACCAGGTGTGCTGCTGCACCTGTCCTACTGTGTGTGTGTGTGTGTGTGTGTGTGTGTGCGTGTGTGTTTGTGTGTGTGTGGGGTCTAAAGTCTAAAGTCCTGCATGTCTTCCAGTCAGTAGCAGCAGCAGCGTCACACCCCAAACCCAAATACACACCAGGCTGAGCTAATGACAAAGCCTCAACACTGACAGATACATTTGGCCTATTCAAAGTATGTTTGTTACATTTTTAGCACAAAATCATTCTGAGGTAATGAGACTTCAGTATGCTCAGTTCAGAGTGAGACGTTTTAGGGTCTCTGTCACTTTAAATCCAGTGGCCACGCCCCCCAAACAGATGCAAAATCACATCTTTGAAAAGCAGAAGTGGAGCCTCCTGCGCAGAATGCAGCACATGGTTTCTGGATTGTAAGTCAACAAGGCCGGTTGCGATAAATCAATTAATCTCATAACAAACTAAAATGAGCTCAATAATGTCAATTTGCATCTTTTATTATTTTTCTCTTTCCACCAAAAACTGGATGATAAAAGTTTCAGTTTGGCGTTTTGGTCTCAACTAGTTCCTGCTTTGAAAGATAATTTTGTTCAGACTTTGTAAATAATTTTATTTTTTTGTTTCACTTATTTTTTTTATTTATCTTGGATATTTAAAATGTCTCCCAGTGTTTATTGATATTTGATGATCTGTTCTTACATTGTGTTACTTGGAAACAATCTCAAAAAACAATAATATCGTTCACTGCTATAAACCATTTCTAATGCGATACCTGTCTCCTTTTATTAAACTCACTAACTGTTGGTTAATGAGCCTGTTGTTGGATTTATAAACTCGTTTTAATTCATAAACTCTGTCTGGACCTGATGCATTGAAACAGCAGGACAAACTGATTGTTGCTAAACCACAAAAATGAAATCCTGCCTTCGGTTTTCACTCAGTTCTCAGCCGAACGTGAAATACTGAAATGTTTTCACCTGTTTGAAAAGCGCGATGGAAAAACTCTGAACGGAAACAAACGTAGAGACGAGAGCTGAGCTTCTGTGAAATCTGTAGTTTTTATCTCTACGTTTTATAAAAATACTGAAATAAATAATATTTATGTAGCTTTATTAATATCTGGGAACAGAACCTTATCATGATCAATAAGGACATCCTTCATTTTGATTTATTAAAGATCCTGTTTGTTTAAATGTCTGCTGGATGTTTTCTAATGTTATCCAGCCTGACCTCTGACCTCTGACCTCTTCCTGACCTTCTGGATTCACATCCAGGAGATAAAATTATTCCATAAAGTCGCAGCAAAGCCGGAAAAGCATATCCTGAAACTTTCTGAGGGGAAATTCCCACAGAATCCGGTTAAATCCCATTAATCATTAATGCTTCATGTCTGGAAGCTGGCAGGAACAAAAGCTCAGATTCATAAAAATGAAGAATTTTCTCCAGATTTAACCAAATTACATGGCAGGAGAAGTAAATGAATAAAAACCTGCGGACGGTGAGCTGCAGCGTCTTGAACGACCCTTTGATCAGAGCGATGGCTTCCTGTCTGTAGCCACTCAGCTCCACGTCGTTGATGATGATGATCTCATCCCCAACCAGCAGAGGGCGCTCCACGCTGTCTGCCTTACCGCCTTCTTCCACCTGGAAGGAGAACCAAAGATTCACCACTAGAATCAAATTTAAATGTAATTTATTGACCCACAGAGGAGAAATTATGCTGCAACAGGAGAAAAGTGACAGACGATGCAGGTAAAAGTATAAAGATATATTTTAAAAAAGACTAAATGCGTCATAGCTACTAAAAAGAGCCAAAGAAGTGAACAGGAACGTTTTATAAAATTACAAAACGTGAATTCATTTCTGTGTTTTATAACAAAACTGTGTAAACAACAACAGAAATGTTTTTAAAATGAGTAAAACTGGAAATAACAGGTGGAGTTCATAGAAAAAATGCTGTAATAATAATAAAAGCAGTAATAATGGCCACTGCTATCATCACCAGATCAGAACCAGACGAAGGAAGCTGATAAAAAGAAAAGCGTAGTTAATAGAAACAGCTTTTATTTTGGTTTTAGTGGTTATTCTGCTCTGAGTCAAACCAACCTGTTCCCCTCCTGGCCTGTGGGGGCGCTGCAGCAAGAACCACTGAAGGAAACGACACAAAAACCTCTGAAGACACTGAGAGCAACTTCCTTCACCAAATGGAAACTGAAATGGAGGCATCTAAGTTTAGTTGTTGAAGGATTTCTGGAGACATTTCTCCCATTAACGTGTCGATAGCTAGTTTATTTTGGTTGTATTTACCCAGAATGCCCTTCTCTGTAGTCCACTTCCTACTTTTGGAGTGGTCTCCAGTCCACTTGGTGTTCACATATAAAACTGAATTAACTTCAACTGAACCCAGACTGATCGTTTGCTAATTGGAGTTCAATTAGCATTCACACCTGAGCAACCAAACCAGACTTTCTAGAAAAACGGACTGGAGTCGGGTTAAAGCGGACCGGAGTCGGGTTAAAGCGGACCGGAGTCGGGTTAAAGCGGACCGGAGTCAGGTTAAAGTGGACCGGAGTTGGGTTAAAGCGGACCGGAGTCAGGTTAAAGCGGACTGGAGTCGGGTTAAAGTGGAC